TGCCAACGCATAGCAACATTTTGTAGCGCAACATTGCGCGTAGAACGCGAAAGCAACAGCCGCAACCGCAAATTCCATTTTGTTGCGTCAGTTAATTTTGACAAATTTGTCTACAGTTTATCATTTATTGATGACAATCGCAGCGCTGTCGACGTCACAGCCTCAGTTAGTCGGTAAGCTGCACTATTTATGACCTGCCAATCGAATTTCGGGGCATAACTAATTATGAGGTTGGCAACTAATTTAGTTTCGGGCCAGTTTTGTTTAAATTGCAATGCCGCAAACACATTTTATGGTTATTGCGAAATATACCCTGTAAAATAATTAATGGCTTACAGTTGAGGTTATGCATGCCAGACCTTGAAATACATATGTATAAACATGCATATGCTTTCAATTTGAGAATAGATCAGGCTATCTCCCGCTCTTTCGCTCTCTCTCGCTCTTTCTCCATCTCCTTCGCTCGCTCTTGGCAAACCTTGTTTATTTAAAATCTTTAATGTTTTCCCCACATCTCTCTTAAATCCAATCAAGGGCAACTCCTGGTCGAGCACTTGCGACTATTGCATTCTTGCATCACGTTTTTTTTTTTGTTGCTTTTATTGAAAATCGCTGTGGCTAGTTGTTGTTGTAATTGTGTTGCATTTACGGTTGCAGCTTTGCAACGCCAACTGTATTTGTTTTACTGTTTTTGAGGTTTTTTGCCAGGGTTGCCATAAAGCCTGATTTTATTGTGTTTGCTCTGTTGCATGTTGCTCGCCGTGGCTGTATGCGTAGCGTGGCACACAAAAAAAAAAAACAAAAACACGGAAAAAACGTGGAAAAAAAAACAAAACACGGCAGATTAAAAACTTTTCCCATTACGTAAAAATTAACAACTTTTTGTTGCTCCTGCCGCACAGACTAGAGAAATAGTTGTGCTGAGTGCACAGCCAGAGGCAGTTGCTTCTAAATTCTCTAAAATAAAACGGAGCCCCGTCGCAGCCTTTGTTCCAATGTGTGTGCGTATGTGCCGCAAGGCACATGGCGGGCGGGGTGCAGCCAATGAGTGCAAGTGCAACTGTAATGCCAGTCAAGGTCCATTTAACTACTAGCCAGGTTTAGGGCTCGCTTTAAATTACTGGCTGAAGTCCACTTAACAAGTAGCTATACGAATTGAATTTAATAAGCCAACTTAAGTATTTTTAGGTTTAAAATATATTTAAGAGAATTAACATGGTTTTAAATTATAAATGCAAAATACTCTACAAAATTAATATGCAAATCCTCTTTGGACTTGAAGACTTGAACAATTTGAATGAAGCGCTTATCATATGTCATAATGAATCATAAATATTACCTCAACTTCGATAACCTCTTTTAACAAATAATTTTCTATAAGCTTTGAGTTCAATGGGGAAATAAATTATTTTTAATTTGCTTTTCAATACTGTTCCGTATAATATCGAATTATAAAAGTGAAATATATACAAATATTTAAACAAGAATTAAATTGAAATTCCAAATATCAAAATAAAAGCATTTGAAAATCATTCAAAATTAACTTGGCATCAAACTCTACACGATTCTTTAATTACGCTATATGTGCATTATTTATAGTGTATCTGCAAGTCGGCTTGCAGCGTCTAACCCTTCGTTAATTGAATTATAATCAATATCATAAAAACTGCACATAATTTACAATAATTACGGTAATTACAGCTGGCTGCGTTTATGACTTGATTATCGGCATATAATCAGAGCCAAAAGCCTTTCGTGAACTTTGCTCCCATCAACATGTTGCTGCAACATACACACACAAATACACACACACACACACACACACACACAGTAACAGCCACAAGCGCAACGAGCAGCCACATAACTAATCAGCACGCGCTGTTTTTGGTTATTGCTTTTTGTTGTGTGTTTGCTTGTGGGTGTGTGTGCATGTGTTGTGTTTGTCTGTGTGTAGGGGTGTGCCTTTAAAACTCCCCCCTGCGCATAAATTTCAATCCCGCGAGGAGACGCAGCGAGTTTCAGCTGCAAAGTTTTGACTGCCCGAGTCCGACGACACTTTATGTCGCATGAAATTAGGCAGCAACAGAGAGACACACACACACACAGACACACAGAGACAGTGTCAACTTCTGTTGGCTGTTGACTGCTGGCTGGCACTGTTGATGCCACTTGTTACCGCTGTTGCCCCGGGATCGGCAAAAGGCTTCAGCATGGACACATCTAGCCAGCGGCTGTGCGGACTCAGCACACAAAGTATTAAAAGTGTCCAAATAATGATTGTTTTGGTTATGGCACAGCGAGCGCTCGACGCGCTAAGCCAGGGCGTGCAGGGAATTGCGTCCAGAGCTCCTGTCTCCAGCGTCCTCCTGTACTGACAGCATCAGCAGCCACAAGCAGAGCAGCCAAGACAAATGTGTCCTGTCTGTAGCGACTTCCTGGCCAACAACTTCTTCAGCTGGATTTATTTCAATTTACCAGCTGCATTTGGTCAAAAACCAAACAAAAATAAAATCAAATCAAATAAGTTTTCAAGCTTAAAGCAACAACTTGATACTTTTGGCTGGCACTGTAATTATGCGCTTATTGATTTTCAAGCCAGTAGTCAAAGTTAATCGCCATAGAGCCTTGTTAAACATGCGCCACCAACATCCAACAGCAGAAGCAGCAGCAAACAACGGCAACAAAAATATTAACAACTAATAAAAGCTAGCAAAAATGGCTGGGCCATAAGATACCCTGTATTCACCATTTTTCAAAATATATATTTATACCCCAACCCGAACTGGATTCAGAGTATACAGCATAACAGAAAGTCTGGCTTAACATTAATAATTTCAAAACCCAAAACAAGCTATTTAATTTAAAACAAATAAATTAAATTAACATTAATCAACAGATTATATTGTTCGCAGACCATATTGCAGCTAACTAATGTTTTGCCATTTTCTGAGAATTATCATCTCTTTGCATTAAAAAAAATTGCTTTTAATATGCTTTGAAAAGCAAGCCTTGCAATACATTCATGAATTTTTAATAAAATAATTAAATAACGTTTCGCCTCTACTTTCGAGAAACAGCTGGGAAAAGGATGCTAATAAAAGCTAATAATGCAGCTGCTTCGTTGTCTGATGCAAACACGGCGATGCAGAAAGATAACTGAATCATTTCTGCAGGACATGCTCTTAAACAACTGAAAAAAAAGACTGCAAAATGTCTGTGATAATCCAGTCAAGCAATTACTTTTCTAAGTATATTTTTTTTCGTATGGAAAGGCGTCCCTTCCAAAGGATTTATTATGTACCACAGTTTCAATGGTAATAAACATTTTTTCAGAAATAATAAATTAAATAGAAATATGAATTGCAATAAAGAAATATTTAATAATTATACAATATACAATTTAATGCATTTAAGCTATTTAGCTTTCTAATTTCTGTTTTAATGGATGCATCACTTTGTTTTAAGCTCCATGTTAAAATACTTGTGCATATTAAGCTATATATGTTTATTATACTTATTATATTTATGTTTATTATATTTATTAAGCAGATACTTAGAATTAGATGCCCGTTGCTAATTTAACTTTATTCAACCTACATAATTGTCAGACTATTTTTACACATAATATGTAGCCCTATAATGCAATGTTAAAATTAAATTAAAATTTGTAATTACAGAGTCTGTCAAAGATGTTGACGATGACTTTATGTAAAGGTGCACAAAAAGTCACATATGTTTATAGAACTCTATCGATTGGGTACCAAAAAAAAAAAGGCACAAAAACATAATATACCCTTTGTACCTATAATGTATGCTATAAAAAGGCGTTAATATATATTATAGATATATTTTTAAATGTATGCGCGTTGGGTAAAAAGAGTTCACGAGAAATGTGGCAAAAAAAAAGGCCACAAAAAGCAATTATGCTTAAATTAAAACTCATTCATTTGTGCGGAAAATGTTAAAATTCATACGAGACGTTGGCTTCATACGCGTTCTGTTTGTTATATATGTATTTGTGTATTTACATATAGTAGATATGTGCATGATGAATACGAGCAGCCGCCACATGCTCTACATAAATATATATATATACATATGTATGTAATTTGAACAACAATGCAGACTCTATGAAATGAAATGAAAATTCAATGCCAGTCCAAATAAGTGAAATATTTATGCCTTTTTTTTGTGGGTGTTGCGTTCTTTGAAGAGGCGCTTCTGTATTATTGTTTCATTGGGGGTTTTTTTGGGAGCTGCTTTCATTTTCGAAATGCTTTGCATGCTTGGCGCGGTGTTTGTTTTAGCTGACGATCCGAGGCAATCCAAACAAAATCAGCAGCAGCAGCGGCAAATGCAAAGTCGTCTACATGGCGTATGCTTGATTTGTCAAACATTACGCATACGCCCTGGTTTTGCTTATTGCAGCCAATTAGTCGGCGCACGGGCAGCTTCAATTCCTTATGCCATCAACTTTGACGACAGATGCCCCTTACCCCCTCCCCTTTAAAAGAAACCCCCCACTAGCGTGTATCACACGCAGAATTTTGATTTGCGCTGCCGCTTTGAAGGGGCATGCAGCATGGTACGAGGGGTGCGCGGCATTTCCTTAGTGTTGGTGCTGGCTGCCGCCTTTGCTTTGGCTTTTATTTCTATTCTTTCATTTTTTTTATTTTTTTTATATTTTACTCTCATTCGTTCGTTCTTTATTATGCAGTAAAGTTTCGCAGCAAAAGTTTTCTTCAAAAATAATTTGTGAAAAAAAAAGTTTGCCGGCCATATCTAAGAGTACGTGCCTGGTACCTTACTCTAAATTCAATTTCATTGTTGTATTTGGATGCGGCAAGTGTGTGTATGAGGCGGGGGGAGGGAGCGGGGTGCACCGTTGCCTGGTTACGTGAGCTTGATAAGTCACATTCTGGCCTATGCGTTGGGTCTATTTTCAGAGCAAATAATCTACTTAAGTTAAGTATAGCTGATTTAGTCCAAGGAATGCAGTCTTTTGATTGTTACGTACTGACATTTTTTTTTATTTTTTACTAAAAGAATTTTTAAAACAGTAACTGCAAACAAATTTAGAAAAAGAATATGAATTGAAGCCAAAGCTAATAAATCTAAGAATTGTTATTAAGGTTTTGCAAGTTCGGACAGCTTGGAACCTTTTTTGCCATTATTATTTCTATGTTTTCGATAAAGACCAGCTCAGTCAACTTTAAATCTAGTATTCCACCTTAGTTAGTATTAATTAGCTGCATACAATTGCTTCTGCTTGATTCTGCTTACCAATGTCGTCCGCTTGCTGATTGCCCTCAATCCATGAGTTTGGCTTGAATCTCTTGATCGGATACTCATCTTCTTCCGGCCAGTCTGGTGGCACACAACGTTTCAAGCTTTTCTTATAAAATAAATTGCTGGTCATCATTGTGGAAGGGGTACTTTCTCACTTATATTTGAGTAAGCAATCGAACCGTTGTCTGCTCCGATATCTTACAGTATTTACTTGCTTTTAATATTTCCTTAAATATAGTATCTATTTTGAAGTCTTGTCAGTGTTTGCTTAGATCCTTTCTAATGGGTTAGAAGAAAGAATAAATTTAAATAAAAATGTATATTTATTTATTATATTTTAAATATAAGTCTTCGTGTACCCCAAGCAGATAAATATTCCATCGTCAATCATTAAGGTGCCTCTTTGATTTACCCAGCCAACTTTCTGGCTGGCAACTTGGCTTTATATAAAGTGTTTTCATCAGAGCCAATCTGCATGGTCTCTTCTTGATGGTCAGTTTTCCATAGTCACTTGTTCATGCTACTTCTCAGACTAATAAAATTTTTATTTATAGTCCGTCATAGCTCGCATTCATCGAAAAGATACAATTATTTACTCCTGTACTATATATTTTCTCAATCATACCCTTCTATGATATCGATGATATCCAGCTAACTTCACCCGATCCTCTGCCGCTTTAACCGCGTAGCCGTAAGTATCGAATTCTCAGACAAATGAGAAATGGTCACTTAAATTGGCAAATCTCTTCCCGTCCCCGACTGGCCAAAGGACCATCATTTATTATTCATAACCTGCCCAGTTCAACACGTTCACTTAAACAGCACTCAGCTCAGTTCCACTCAGTTTAAAGAATTACCCGTCCTTTCTTAAGCCCCATTACCCACAGCCATGTGACTATATAGTATATATATATATTAAAAACTATTCAACTTGAGGCTGAGATACAAACTTGCTGCGCGCCCATCTCAATCATATTTTAAACTGAACTTGTGACACTTGGCACTTTCTTAGCGGTCACATCATGACTGTGTCTTGACAGAACATAACTCAGTCAAGTTGCACATTAACTTATCACCCTGTTCTCCCCTCCCCTCCCCCCCCCCTCCTCCTTGCTACTCATTCTCTTTAACAGTTCCCCTGACACTGACTGCGTCACGCTTTACGTGTATTTTCAACATTTTTATGGTGCTTATGGTATGCTCAGCTTCAGCTCCAGCTCCAGCTCCAGAGTTGTTTGTAGCTGCTGCTCAACTATTTAATAATGTTGGCTACCATGTTATGTAGTCTTCACGGCTGTGCCGCGAGCATCATTTATATGCCGCCCCTGGTTGCCGCAGGCAGGCAAGCAGGCAGGCAGCAAGCGTAACTCTACCTGGCGCCTCTGTTCATTTGCAAGTGTCCTTGTCTGGAGCTTGCATTTATTTATTTTCTTCTTTTTTTCCAGTCAGTGGGGCAACTGCAGGCTGACTGCAATCCACTTTTGCACTTAGCAGGGATAACGTGCGGCTTTTTGTCAAAGCACCAGGCGGAGACGACAGCTGGAGGACGAGGAGAACGAGGCGGTCAGAGCATGAGAGTTTGGCTGCGGGAAACCACAGGTTGTCGCAAATGTCACACCAACTTGTCATGTCCAACAGTTTATGGCCATGTCAAGCTGTCGGTCTGTCCAACTGGCCATTGTCTGCAAAATAATGTGGCACATCAAGAAGCTGCCTCCAATGTCTGTGGCAATAGATACTAAGTAAATTTCAATGGGTTCTATGATAGCTCATATCACTTGGCCTTTGGCCGTTTGCCAGACATGGGGGACACTAACAAGCGCTACTAATTGCACACACACGCAAACACACACACACACACTCGAGCTCAGGGCCATAATGAGCCATGGCCACAAAGCAAAGCCAGCACTAGAAATAGTTACAGGAGCAGCAGCAGTAGCAGCAGCAGGAACAGCAGAAGTTTCAGCAGCAGCAGGATCAGGAGTAGGAGCAGGAGCAGGAGCAGTAGATGCTGCTGGAATGGAAACTGTAGCTGGGGAGCTGGTGCTAATGGCTCTTTGCTTCCGCCGCATCAGTGCAATGCGCAGCACAAAAATTTTGCAGCTTCTTTGGCGTTGGCAAAAATTTAATTTAGAGCCAAAAACGTAACGCAACGTGCCGCTATCCGTTGCACATTGCAGCAGTAGGTGCAACAGTATGGGCTTGGGTGCCGCAACGGCAGCATCCCTGGCAACCAGCACCCAACGAACTCTGGCGGCCGCCTCGGACTTTTGGACTCGCTTTGCCGACAACGTTATTTATGGCATTCCAGAGCGGCCTTTGGACACTGTAACCGCATTTCTTGCCACCGCTGCCGCCGGAGCTGATGCTGCTGCTGCTGCTGCTGCTACTGGTGTTGCAGCTACCGTTTGCCACTTGGACCGTTGCCCTGTTTAGAGCTGGAGCCGTTAAAACACACAGCAGCCAAAATGGGCCAACTGGCCAAAGGGTTGGCCAAAATGCATTGCCGTCTACGATGTTGTAAAATTAAAAAAATGTGCTGGCAAAAAATTAACGAAAATGGAGCTAAAGGTTTTCTTTTCAATTTTTTTCGTTTTTTTTTTTCTGTCCCAGCCATGAGAAAAATATGTGGTTCAGTGCGAGTTTATCATCAGCTGAGTGCAAATGGAAATTGCCCATAAACGAAAATAGATATTAAAAGTGTAAGAGATAAAGCTTAACAAATTCTCTGATTAAGATAGATTTTAAACTGAAAGAGACATTTAACAATGTACTATTATTCTGTACTTATTCTAGTCTATCAATTATTACCTTTAAATTGTAGAACTTAATTAAGCATTGAATTTGCAAATTTAAAAATCAGCAGGGTCCTAAGATAAAAATTATAGGCAAGAGACATCTTTTTAAGAGAGTTTTTTTAAAAAATTAGCTAAAAATGAATATATTTTTATTTCTTGCGCCCACACACAAAATCAGAAGGGTATACAAATTGTGCCTTATCTGCGTCTACTCCACAAAAATCAAATATAGTTCTTGCTATAATAATATAAAAAGTTAAGAATCCAAATGAAAGCATGACAAACTCACTTTAAAAATTCCACAAAATTTTTAAAACTTGAAAGATTCACAACTCGAAGAAAAGAATATGCCATATTTTTTAAACTTTTTTTTTATGTGTTGTTAACTGGTCTGATTAGCATCTGAACAGTATGAAGATATTTCGAACAGTTAGAATTCCAATAATAACAATTTTTTTTTAAAAAATGAACCAAAAGAAATCAGTTTGTTTACGTACCAATCAGAACAGACGCTGTGCTACCAGCTGCTTGTTGTTATGACAGCACAGTTCTCAGAAGAATGTTGGTCGTCATCACGATCGAATGTTGTGAACTTCATATGCTCACTTCGTCGCATCGAATCGGTCCGATAAAGAACTCATAGTCCAAATCTCCAAAACCGTCGCGATCCGGACTCCAGTCACGATAAAATACTGTAGGTCCGCTCAAGCGGCGAAATATTACCATCCAGCAAATTAATCTTCACAACGAGCTGAATATGTGACAAGACCCGGAACTTGGATCGTCGCAAAGCCCAACCAGCTGTTGAGACTAATGCAGCTATCAGGCTTGCTCGCTGGTAATTCTTCGAATCCTCTAAGTTCAGCAGTTGTTTCGTTCGCAGCCCCCAATCGTAAGTTCCCATTCCCTTACTCTAGAGTAGCCCTTAACATTGTATGTGTCACAGCTTGCTTGTTTTTTTTTGCGTCTTGCATATTTGCCAGCTGCTCCACCTTCTTCTTTTTAGCGACTATATTGGCTACGAGCTCATTATTCGTTGCTTAATTTTTCAAATAGACAACCAGTTGATTTCGCAGGTCTTTTAACTGCTTTTTCCGATCTGCTAATTGTGCATCTTTTCTTTGATATTGCTCGGCCATCTGCAATAGGGGCTTAATCACCTTATAGCAATATGATGCGCATTGGCTCTCCAATTGCTTGTTTCGAACACAAAACTGTTTTCAAATTTAAACAACATGAAGTTGCTTTAATTTACATTCAAGCACCTAGACAATATTATCCCTAGAAATACGCCAATTTAACGATCGATTGTTGCGTGCAACATGTCAAAAATAATCATCAAATCTTCTGCTTGGTGTGATCAACACATTTTAACACTTTTTTCAAGTTCATATTCCAAATTTTGAAGAAATGTTGTTTATAAGTACGAAAAACAAAACGGAAATTGCAAGACACCAATATACCCTATGTTTGCTTTGTAAACAGAGTATATAAAACCCTAGTTTCTATCTCTGAATTTTTCAAGTACTTACTGAATTTGGTAAATTCCCTTAAGTGGTGCTTGGATAGAACCAAATTACAATTAGCATTGACTTACCAATCCGTATCGAAGGCCGTGCCAAGCAGATATTTTGATTCCACTTGGAAATAGACAGATTCTATAAGGAGTCAGTGATAAAAGAGATTGATAAGAGCTGCTGCTATTTAAGCTTAGCTAAAGTGAAAAGAGGAGAAAATTAAAGTAGAACTGTAAATGCAGGTAAGGATTGTCATTTTTTAAGATAGTGATAATCAACTGGAACTCTATTTTAATAAAAAAAATTAAACGAATTAAATACTTAATTAAAATGACGTTAAGAAATAAGTGTTTTTGGGCTTCCTTTAAGCTCAGTTTTGTAAAACGCAAATATAAATTGAATAAAGGCCCTTTAATATCTGCAGTGGACAGCTTATTAATTGAATGAAACCAATTAAATGTCTAGAACAACTATATTATTATATGTTAGCCAGAAATTTGCATAGTTACAGCAAAAGTTAATTAACAATAAATTAAATTGATCGGAAGTTGCAACCACGGTGCCACATTCCAAAATGAGAATATGCCACATTAGTTTTGCAATTTGCCTGTTTAGATTTCAAAGCAAATGCCCCGCTCAAAGGGCACCACCAGGGCCAACTGTGGCTTGGCCGGCAGCACTTGGCACCTCAAGTTCATAATTATGTGCAAAATATCAAATGAAACTTTCATAACTATGCACAGTCCGACAAATGGGCGGGGCAATGGACGCACCAGCCAGACAAATGGCCGCACACTTTTTCCAATTCGCTGCATTTGTGGCAGCCACCCGAATCCTTGCCCCATTTACCCGCCCCACACCCAAATGCTCTGACCATGGCATACAAAAGAAAAACTTTAAATGTTATTTGCTGCCGTATTTTTGTTTGTATTTTTATTACATTTATTGTGCATTTGAGT